GTGGTTAACCTCAAAGGTTTTCCTTTGCAGTGTTTATCTGAAGCTATATAATATCAGCGGGAACATACCATTTAGGGGGTCAAGGAAGATGGGAGAAAGTTAGGAGATGGTGTTTTTAACACCATAGGGTCAGGAATACAAGTGTTCCTTTGTTATGCAAAAATATTAAATCAAGGGCTATGTCAGAAAAGATAAAAATACCTGAGGACATTTTTGTTGAACCTTAGTGAAGCTATGTTTATTGAGAATCGTAGTTGAACTGAATAAACTGCCTAGATATCTGTTATGTACATTGATGGACTTTGGCAATGGCTGTTAATATGGCATTGGTGAGTATCAAGTGCAGTACATGCCAAGAACAGGCTGACAACTTACAGGGCTTATTCAATCAATGCTTCTTGTAGAGAAGCATTGCTGCGCATGCCATAGCCTTTAACCCCTTAAAGACAACTTCTGAAATAAAAGGGAATCGTGACGGAATATTTCCGTCATGTGTCCTTAAGGGGTTAAATAAGGGGGCAGACTGCATGGAGGTGATGTGACCAATTGGTCAGTCCAGCCCTGTTCATGGCCATTGCAGAATATATATCCACAGTGAGTAGTGCTTATGTGCTTCTAAACAATTTGATCACACATATTTTAGCATACAATTATATTATTCTGATATATATATATTTTCATATACTTAGTTGGCAGATGTATTCCTCTTCTCCTACATTTGTTTCATAGTTCTTTATTTAATAATGTATTGAATAATTTTTACTATTCTATAAGGGACTCTGGAGTTCACCCCAAAATTTCTCCTATCACTTAGCAAAGATATGCTTAGTATCGGAGCCTGACTGGGAACTACGTGTGAACGCCCCACATAGCAAGAGAAAGCCAGGAGATACATGAAATAGATAGCAACTATTAATGTATTCATTATGATATTATGTATTCATTATCATAAGATAAAAAGCAAGGCTATATTACATGGAATCTTTAATTGTCAGTAATAATAGAAAATGCTAACAGTCTTCCTTTAAGCTGTTATTTTCATTCTGGTCTTCTTTTCCCTAAGAGGGAGCAGGACAGGTGGGCCGCAATGGCCATGGGCTAAGACCGACAGGGGGGATTTAGAGTATCTCCCTGGTGGCCCATGCAAGACTGGTACAATCCAAGCGCTGACCTTGCTGAGTGCCATCACGGTCAAAGATTTCCCTCACCTAAATCCAGCAGAAGAGAGGGTAGAAGACCCAAGGGCTCTAGCCAGCTGCTCTGCCAGATTCTGCATGTTCTTGTGAGTTTGGAGCATTGCTGTGGTTACCACAACAAGGGTACAAATTTAACATAAACATAAAATAATAAATAGTAGTTGTCTCTTGAGAAAGGTTTATGCCAAAATGTTGGGGGGGAAGGGGAGGAGGGGGGTAGGTTCTGTGACACTTGTCTATGCTTTTAATATTGATTTTTCTCATATTGCAATAGTGCCCAGTTGTCTGTCTGTTTTTGTATTTGTTTTTTTATTTTAGTAATTGAATTAATAAAGTTCTATTATTATTATTTTTTTTACTTCAATTGGTGTGCATTCTTTATTGTATACTGGAGTGCTTTATAGGATTGCACCCTGGCTCAATTTTTTTTTTTTTGTGTCCGCCACTAACTTATTTGTAGAATCACAAAAGAAAACTATTGACACCTCTAAAATGTTCATATATTATCTAAATAACCTGCCTATGAAAAACAAAGTCCTGATGATTGTCATGAAAGGTCTTGTTGCAATGTTCTTAAGATTCCAACGTGTGTGTGTGTATAGGAATGTCAGCAGTGGCAGAACTACCATGGTCACAGCTGCGACCGAGCCCATCACTGCAGGGGGCCCGGCCGCGCTTCTGACCCCTGCAACTGTGAGCAGAGGCGGCTCTAGACTTTATGAGACCTTAGGCGAAACTCAAACATGAGGCCCCACTAACAAAAAAGTGTCACATATACACATTGATGCACAGTTGACCTGTGTATGTGCCTGAGAGTGTGTCTGACAGAGAGTATCCTTGT